CCTGTGGTCCCAGCTACTTGGGAGGCGGAGGCAGGAGACTCGCTTGAGCCCAGGAGTTGGAGGTTGCTGTGAGCTGTGAAGCCATGGCACTCTGCCCAGGGGGACAGCTTGAGGCTCTGTCTCAAAAAAAAAATAAAATAAAATAAAATAAATAAAATGTTTGTAGCTCAATATATGTTTGCTTTTAGCAGGTCTAGGAATCTACTCAAGAAGCTGTTAACCAAGGTTATCTCAAAAGAGTAGAATGGCTCGGCACCTGTGGCTCAAGCGTCTAAGGCACTAGCCACGTACACCTGAACTGGCGGGTTCAAATCCAACCCGGGCCCGCCAAACAACAATGACAGCTGCAACCAAAAAATACCCAGGCATTGTGGCAGATGCCTGTGGTCCCAGCTACTTGAGAGGCAGAAGCAGGAGAATTGCTTGAGCCCAGGAGTTGGAGGTTGCTATGAGCTGTGACACCAGGCACTCTACCCAGGGGAACAGCTTGAGGCTCTGTCTCAAAAAAAAAAAAAAGAGTAGAATGGTGGGGTTAACTGAACAGCCCCTTAACTTTTAATTTACATATATCTGTATTATTGTTTTAAACAATGTGCACATGTTCCCTCTGTAATTTTTAAAAATTAAAGACAATAAAGAAATTATGTACAATATTATGGAGTGGGAAAAAAAAGGTTTCTCTTCACACTGTCTCTGGGAAATAGCAGCAGAATATTATCAAGCATCAGGATGAAAAGAAAATGAAACTCCTGAATAGAGAAAGACCGTGAGGCCAGATGAGGAGCACAAGCAGCAAAAGACATCGCCCTGCCCTTTGGAAACTTAAAGTGGAGTTGGAAAGACAGACTCACACAGACAGCCGATAGTGACCAGTGGTGTAGCCTTCTGCCAAATTGTGCAGTATGTGAGGGCTGGGAGTTCAGAGGAGAGAAACCAATGAAGACTGGAGTAGCTAAAGATGCTTCATGGAGGAAGTGGGCCTGGAAAGATGTTAAGTGTTTACCAAGGCAGAGAGGAGACCATTATAAGCCAGATAACCAGCAAGAGTGAAGGCATTGATTCCAATGAGCATGCAACCTTCATGCAAAGATGAGGAGAGCAGCCCATCTAGACTAGAGGAGTCCTGTTAGTTAGAGTTAGGTTTGGCTGCGTACAACAGAAAACTCAACGAGCAATGGCTTAAATAAGATAGAGGTTGAATTTTCTTTCATGGCAAAAGAAAGGTAGGCAGTCCTGGGTTATATAGCTTAGTTATTAAAGCCTCAAGTTCCTTCTGCCTTCCTGCTTCACCATCTTTAACACTGGCTTCCATCTTCGAGTCAGCTTCTTAACTGCAAAATAGCTGCTATAGCACCAGCCATCATATCTATGCTCTATACAGCAGGAAGGAGGAAAGAGCAATGAAAAAAGAGGCAGGCCTCCCTGTTCAGTAGGCCTCCTTTAAAGAGTCTCCCTACAAGGCTTTCCTAGCAACTTCTACTTACATCTTGTTGGCTACCCCTATCCAATACAGGGAGCAGGACATGTGTGGATTGTTAAGCTGGGTGCATTGCTGCTCCTATGCATACCAGGTTTCTGAGAGTAAAGAAAGGGACCGTTCACCATCGCTGCCTAATAATTAGGTTAGAAAATGGAGGTTTTCAAAAACTAGGCAAAAGATTTTATGTTTAAAAGAAGAAAGAAATTAGAAAATTACTTATCGTTCATAAAAAATAGATAAATGAATCAACTATAAACTTAGAGTATAAAAAGCATAAAAGAAGTAAGATCGAAAAATAATAGCTACTTACTTCTAAAAGTAGCTAAATGATTGGCCCCTGCTCCATTCACCCACTTTCCACCTTATGCAATTTTCTAGAGATTCATTAGCACTCACCTATGTACCAACGGTGCCAAGGCAGGGCAGACTTCCAGTGTGTATGTTGCAGCAGAAATGGCCTTTTCCCCATTTCTCATCCATATCCCCACAGAGCTTTGCAGATTATTATAATAAAAGCACACTGTGCTTTAGCGAGTCCATCGTTTGCTGGTGAAGAGGCGAAGTGATGGAGCAGAGAGGGCAACATGGACTTTGTCATCCACAGACCTGACTTTCTACTTGCTGACTTGACTGTGTTTCTCTGGCAAGTTACCTTAACACTCCAAGACAGTGGTTCTCAATCTTCCTAATGCCGCGACCCTTTAATACAGTTCCTCATGTTGTGGTCACCCCCAACTATAAAATTATTTTCGTTGCTACTTCATAACTGTAATTTTGCTACTGTTATGAATCGTAGTGTAAATATCTGATATGCAGGATATATTTAGGCGACTTCTGTGAAAGGGTCATTAGATCCCCAAAGGGGTCACGATCCACAGGTTGAGAACCGCTGTTCTGAGATCTACTTTCCTCACCCATAAAATGAAGAACATCATCTGAATCTGGGCATTTCCAAGGTGGTGCTGAGGACCAGAGCCCAGCACTCCCCAGTAGCTCGGTAAGTGATAAGCTTCCTTATTATTTTATCTTCCTGCTAGACTGTAAGGTCATGACGGGTCGGGGCAAGTCTTACTTATCTTCATATGACCCCCAGTGTCTAACACAGTACTGAATGTCCTGGCAGGAGTCACTTCAGCCGACAGAAGCTCACCTGGCAGGCCTCACCTGAAGACCTCTAAAAGACAGCAGCAGGCAGGCCAGCTTGCACTGGCGGATAAATATCACTGGCTGACAGTATTACCCCAGAGCAAACCACCCCTGCCCCGTCTCAGGGATGGCAAGTGACATTGTAGAATTCTCTTTATGGGACATTTGAAATCCTGAGACTCTAGAAAGCATCTCTCTCATCTCCTTGATCTGGTCAGCCACATACATTCTATACACAAAATTGCAAATCTCACTGTTTGGGGGTTTTTTGTTTTTGTTTTTTGAGAAGGAATCTCACTTTGTAGCTCTTGGTAGAATGCCATGGTGTCATAGCTCACAGCAAACTCAGACTCTTAGGCTCAAACAATTCTCTTGCCTCAGTCTCCCAAGTAGCTGGGACTGCAAGCACCTGCCACAACACTCGGCTATTTTCAGAGAAAGGGTCTCACTCTGGCTCAGGCTGGTCCTGAACTCATAAACTCAAGCAATTCACTCACCTCGGCCTCCCAAAGTGCTAGGAATACAGGTGTGAGCCACCACGCCAGACTATTTTTCTGCTGATCCCTTAAGCCTTTGGTCAAGCTTTCCTTCTGAAAAACCTTCCCCAGCACCCCCACCATCCATACCAAGCTGGGTCAGGTGTCTATCAATACTCTCCTTCTACTCTGTGCAGTTCATGGTCACAAAACTTACCATACGGCATTCTGACAGTCTGCTTCTATGTCCAGCTCCCTCAACTGAGGGTTCTCCAGTGTTGGGAAGGTATCTCAGTCATGTCTGATTCCCTGATGCCTAGAACAAGATCTTGCAGAAGGAATGTGATAAAATACCGAATAAACAGTGTTGGTTTTGATGATGCTTCTACCCCTTGCCTTACAGGAAAGGCTACTTAATTCATCTCCGGGGTCTGGAGCAAGATGAGACATCTCCAGCAGTCCCCTATTAACACTTTATCTCTAGAAACTACGGATTCATAATCTTTACATCTTTTCCTGTTTTTTCTTCCAATTCTTTCCCCAAAGAATAAATACTTATGTTCTTTTTCTACACTTGAGCCAGGGACACAACAGTGTTCCTTCATACAGAAAAGATACACTCCCATTCAAACTCTAACTTTTCTGATAGGAAAGCCCTCTTGATTGTCTTTAAACCCACCTTCCCTAGACTCATTGCTAGGAGACTGAATGTAACAGGTAAGATAGGGTCCCTGGGAGTTCTAGATGGAGACAGACACACGGAAACCCTTCATAGCTGTCTTCAACACAAAAGTTGCAGATATAACCTTTCTGGTCTTGATATTTTAAAATTTAAGGTCTTCAGAATTGGTTGCACTTTGTGAAGGGCAGGGAGATACAGAAAGAATGAGGTGAGTGAAAACTGCCAATGGAGTCACAAGTGACATCGGGGATTAATAAGCCAAGTGAGAAGAAACACAAATGGTATTTGCCCTTGATAGTTTCTCTGTAAGTCTTTGTATTAAGTGTCAAATATAACAAATATTCTCTTTGAATTTATTTATTTATTTATTTATTTATTTATTTATTGAGACAGAGCCTCAAGCTGTCACCCTGGGGTAGAGTACCCTGGTATCACAGCTCACAGCAACATCAAACTCCTGGGCTTAAGTGATTCTCTTAAGTGCCTCAGCCTCCCAAGTAGCTGGGACTACAGGCATGCACTACACACTGGCTATTTTTTTATTGTAGTTGTTATTGTTGTTTAGCAGGCCCAGGCCGGGTTCAAACCCACCAGCCTGGGTTTATTTATGTGGTCGGCGTCCTACCCACTGAGCTATGTGTGCTGCGCCTCTTAGAATTTCTATTAAGAAATCATCGAGGCTCAGCACCTGTAGCTCAAGTGGCTAAGGTGCTAGCCACATACACCTAAGGTGGCGGGTTCGAATCCAGCCCGGGTCTGCCAAACAATGACGGCTGCAACCAAAAAACAGCCAGGTGATGTGGTGGGCGCCTGTGGTCCCACCTACTTGGGAGGCTAAGGCAAGAGACTCATTTGAGCCCAGGAGTTGGAGGTTGCTGTGAGCTGTGATGCCATGGCACTCTACCCAGGGGGACAGCTTGAGGCTCTGTCTCAAAAAAGAAAGAATTCATCGAGGCTAGAGTCACACTTGAGTATTGGTTATTGCCTTAGTGTGCTACAGTCCTCGAAGAGTCACTGCTGACCTTATTCACTGGCTGTGGCGCTGATGGCAGTCAGTCACCAGGTTAGTGACATGGCTTCATCTTGACCTACACCTATAAGTGTTAGATTCACTTATATCCCCAAGTTAAAGAAAGATACAACTGGTTCTTTAGAAGCTCTGTATTATAGGAATGGGCAGATTTTTCATAGAGTGCTGTCAAGTGGCTTTAATTTTACTCGTAACTTCCTTAATGATTTATAGTGGTTCTATGAAATAAGTCTAACTTCTTCTTGATAGCCTTTGTTGGTTTCTAAAGGTTAATTCATCAAACGGATTGTGTGCCTGCTGTGTGGTAGTCACTGAGCAATTTCTGCGGTAATGGGAGATAACGATAAAGATAATAAACACAGATTCTTAATCAGGGTGAGGTTATAAGAGTGGTTGGAAAAAACAGCAACAACAAAAAGAAAAGAATTTTATAGAGAATTTCTATTAATCTCCCAGAGCACTCCTGACATACTCCAAGGTTACTGAGTATATCACTATCTAATCTCACTCTCACACGTCAGCACATTTACATGGCACAGCAGCTATTTGTTTTGCCGTTCATTTTGTTACTGTGACAGTAAAAATGCCACTCAACTGACCTAGACAACAAATAGGAGATAAAGTAAAAATATTGCTTTAAAACCTTGCATTCCTCTTGCATACGATATCAGCTGCATTAAGAAACTGGCGGAAAGTGTGTAAGAAAGAACGGAAAGGGTCTTCTATAAAGCCTTTCACGGACTGCAGTTTGGCTTTCAGCTTTGATATTGACTGCATGACAGATTGTATAAACCGAAATAACTAAACATCACACCTCGAGATTAAAGCCCCAAGTGCGAAAGTATCATTAATCACACCAAACATGTATTTGCTTTTCTGTTGGCATCAAAATGTAATTGTTTCTCCCTAAGTTAAATAGACCCCATGGTACAATGCTCATCCAAGTCTGTGCACTTGGCAACAGAAAAGGGAAACTTACTGTCTTTCATCCATTGTATGGGCATTATTATTCCATCTAAAATAATCAACGTGAATGAAAGTTCATTCTGTCCGCCTCTGTAAGGGTTGCCAAGCCCAGCACTTCGCTTTTGAGTTAAGTAAAAAATGATCTGTTTGTTCACTCGGCTCCATTAAAGTATTAAGGGGTCAGCGGGGAAGGAGGAGGGCGGTCACAAACCCATTTGGAAATCTTAAGAAAGCTTAGCCCTTCACCCCAAAATCATGCACATGCACATTCACTCATATTCACCAAATTGAAGATTTGCTTTTCAGGGAGCTCTTGGTCACCCCAAAGCCAATCACCTGTATTTAGTGAGAACAACAGCATTTACAAGTAGAGTGGCCACTCCATTCTTATTATTAATGGAATAATTTCTCTTCTTTATTCAATTAGCATCACATGACATAAGATCAAAATATGATATTTTGAAGTAGGAATCAGTAATAAATCATTGTTTTTAGAAAGGAGCTTTGCTGATTCCTGCCCCACCTGACCCATCTTGTCCACAGCGCCCCCTGTCAGACATCTCACTGTGGACATTGGCTTACACCTGTGTCTTAATCACAATAGGTACTTAAATTGGCTATTTGTTGTGTTTCTTTCTTTGCCTACCCTATTTTGGGTTTGTTATTGTTGTTTTTTGACGTTTTTTGACACATCAAAAACAACATGCAGTGGCATCAGCCTAGCTCACAGCAACCTCAAACTCCTGGGCTCAAGTGATCCTCCTGCCCCACCTGCCCAAGTAGCTGGCATTACAGGCACCTGCCACCATCCTTAGCAAATTTTTTCATTTTTTGTAGAGATGGGGTCTTGCTATGTTGCACAGGCTGGTCTTGAACTCCAAGCCTCAATCAGTCCTCCTGCCTTGGCCTCCAAAGTGCTGTGATTACAGGTGCAAGGCGCTGTGCCAGCACTTCCAATCCCCTTTTGGACAAGCTTCCTATGTTTGGAAATTTCTCACCTTTCAGTCCCACTTTCTCAGTGGAAATAAAAGCCAGAAACTCAGGCACAGCACCCGTAGCACAGTGGTTACAGTGCTGGCCACATGCACTGAGGGTGGCAGGTTCGAACCCAGCCAGGGCTAGCTAAACAACAATGACACCTGCAACCAAAAAATAGCCAGACGCTGTGGCAGGCACCTGTAGTCCCAGCTACTTGGGAGGCTGAGGCAAGAGAATCACTTAACCCCAAGAGTTTGAGGTTGCTGTGAGTTGTGACACCATAGTACTCTACAAGGATGACATAGTGAGACTCTGTCTCAAAAAAAAAAAAAAAAAAAAATCCAGAAACTCACTTTCCCAGCTTCTTTACAACTGGATCTGGTCACGTGACCTAGTTCTTCCAATAAGATACACCCAGTAAAGGACTTAATGCCAAAGAGTAAGATAAAAAGATAGTGACCTTTGGGATCTGCTCTGGCGAGGGCAGTAGAAACACTATCTCTGAGAGCCCCCTAAGATTTCAGAAGTGGCATAGACATTACATTCTAGAACGTAAGCTAGTGAAGAAGGGCAGATGCTAAACAAATAAGTAAAATAAATCTACGGTACTGTCAGCAGGGAAAGGAACTGGGGAGTGCTCAGGGCAGCCATGGGGTTGTGATTCTGAATAGTTGGTCAGAGAAAACCTCACTCACAGGAAGAGGTGACACCTGAGCAGATGTGAAGAGGAAGCATGCCTGGTGAGGGGCCGTGTCCCCACAGCAGGAGCAGAGTGGGCCGAGGGCATGAGGCAGGAGCGTGCCCTGGAGATGCTTATCTGGGAGTTATCATCTAATCTCCCTAAAGTGGTGCCTTATCCTAAGAGAAGCAGCACATGGAGAGACCCTAATCTATAGAGGAGCTCACCTTGACTGCAAGGAACTCAACGCGCTTCCTGCAAATGTCAAGTCTAATTTAGACAATATTAGCAACCTATGGCCAAATCTCCCCATCTCTCCAAACACACACAGCATATATTTGTTAACAAAAAATACGATTAAAGAAAAGCTAAGTAAAGCTTCATTCATCTTAAAACTTCAAGTGGGTTTATTTTGGCATTCGTGCCTTATAAATATTCGTTTAGAGGCAACCATGAAAATTGGTGCTCAAGAAAGATGTTTTCTCCATTGAACTTTACAGCTTAAAATAATAAAACCTCCAGGACTATTCATCTTGGTGTGGAGTTTTTATTTTTGAGTCTATGACTCACAATCTAAACGAAAGGAAAAAGACAACAAATTTGAATACATAAAAATAATATTTGTATGGCAAAAACCCCTTAACAAAGTCAAAAGACAACTGGAAAATTGGAAGAAAATATTAACAACATATACCACAGGGCAGAAAAAGACCAACATCCCTCATCTATAAATAATTCTTAAAAACTGAAAAACTTGCTAGAAAAATGGAAAAAATGCATTAACAGACAACTCACAAAAAAGACATAAAACTGGCCCACGACAGATGAAAAATTGTTCAAACTCAGTCAGAATTAGAGCAATACAAATTAAAACACTGCTGAGACATCATTTCTTACCCACCAGACTGGCAAAAATTAAAAAGCTACACAACTCGTGGGGGGAAAGCATGGGGGAAATGAGCAGTCTTCCATTGCTGGTAGAAATGCAGATTGGTACAACCCTTCTGGAAGAAAATTTGCCAATACCTAGCAATTAAATAATACACTATATGCACTTTTGACATCAGCAACCTCATTCCAGAAATTTACCTTAAAGTTACAACTGCAAAAGTACGCATGTACAGGCTATTTCTTGTAGCATTTAAAAAATAATCACAAGATATTGAAAACAATCGAAATGACGATACACAGGAGAATTGTTGAATAAATGACACATATCCACACGTTGAAATATGAAGCTTCGGCTCGGCGCCTGTGGCTCAAGTGGCTAAGGCGCCAGCCACATACACCTAAGGTGGCAGGTTCGAATCCCCAGCCCGGGCCCGCCAAACAACAATGACGGCTGCAACCAAAAAAATGGCCAGGCCTTGTGGCGGGCGCCTGTAGTCCCAGCTACTTGGGAGGCTGAGGCAGGAGACTCGCTTGAGCCCAGGAGTTGGAGGTTGCTGTGAGAGTGATGCCATGGCACTCTGCCCAGGGGGACAGCTTGAGGCTCTGTCTCAAAAAAAAAAAAAAGAAAAAGAAAAAAAAGAAATAGGAAGCATCTATAAAAAGAATGAGCTAGAATGAAGTGATTTGGAATTATTTCCAGGGTACACTATTAAATGAAAAAAGAAAAGTAGGCAAGAATACCTGTAGTATGCTACCTTTCAAGTGAGAGATAGGGGGATAGTTTAAAAAATAATGGGTCTGCTTATTTGTGCAAAAGAAAAACAGAAACTAAATCAAAACCTAAATAGATTGATGACCTACAGAGCATGAGTCGGAGTTGGAGGGGTGAACGATGGGGAAAATGTGGAGCAGGGTGGTAGAGATGAGGTGGGTACTTTCACTCTTAAAATCAGAGTGGTGTTTCATATAGTCCAAAAAGGTAAAAAAATTCATTAAAATCAACCTGGGTGTGGAGGGAACCCAAAGTGGATTGCAAACGGCGACAGATGAAACTAACTGCATCATAAATAACTAGTATAACTACACTGTCAGGATGTGGAAAAAGAAACAGCTAACCTGAGTAAGTCTGGAAAACTGTGGATACGTAAGTCTAAAAACAAACAAAACTGTACACAAACAGCACATTCGTACTAATAAGTCTAATTCTCATCTGGGTGTGAGTTAGCAATTCTGTAGCTTTTTATATGTATACTGGGATTGAGGAAATAAGTAAATAGTTTTAGAAGAGAGCCATGTTTCTTATCGTTGGAGAAAAAAGTTGCATATAAGAAAAAGAGGAAGGGGCGGCGCCTGTGGCTCAAAGGAATAGGGCGCCAGCCCCATATACCGGAGGTGGTGGGTTCAAACCTGGCCTCGGCCAAAAATTGCAAAAAAAGGAGGTCTTTTTTTTTTAATTGGAAGAAGCAGTGAGAAATCATGGTGATACAGTGCACAGAGATTAAGCTAAGAACATAAATACGGAGATGTGTGTG